AGTACGTATAATACTGAAATTTCAAAGGACAATAAATAACTACGCCTCAGTCAATGTTTGCTAGTCAAATGTAATTCTGTCCTCTGATGATTGAGGCAGCAAGGTTGTCCACAACGTCGGCTAACGTTTACCGGACTACATCGCGCAAGAAGACAATCATCTTCAGCTTAATATCGTTTCGACCCACTGACCGCGGCGAGAAGGAAGCCAGGATAGGCAAAGGAAGAAGTCTATGGAAAAATCTTACCAGAAGAAGAGATAGGATGGCGGGACACATTTTGAGGCACCCGGGATTTCTTAATTTGGTGCACTTTCCCTGCATTCCTGATGGTCCATAGCCCCTTTAAACCATTTTCGTATTCCCATGATTTTCATATATCCTTCAGTCTCATCTCTCCGTCTCTTTCTTGGTCTATCGCTCTTCCTTCTTCTTTTATGTTCACGCCATCTTTCAGAGATTTTATAAATGTTACAATATAATACAACCTCTGTCTCCTTATTAGTTTTGTTTCACAGTTTTCTCCTTCATTTAATCATTCTTCTATCAAACATTCTAAGGGCATTAATTTCTTCTGAATTCACCGTCCAAGAACACTTGGGATCCGATAATCTAATATTGATATTAAGTCGCTTCAATGATATGTTACACTACTTCGCATTGTTTTGTTCTTTTTCAAGTATTATGAATATAGTGTGTAGTTTTACATTCAACCAAAGGGAAGAGGTGAAGCAAATTTTTAAACTATGATCTGTTTAGTTGATTCTGTGTTAGATTTTATCTCGGAAAAATGTTTCGAGTTCCCCGTTTGATTAGAGCTTTCACATTTTTCTTATACTCCGCAAGTACCATAACTATATTCAAGTACTCGTTTTGTTTATTTTGTAGTAATATTTTGTGCCTATTCATTAAAATACTTAAAAGTACCGCACAAAATCCCGTGAATCAAAAAATACATCAGTTAACAGAAAGCTTAGTCTGTTTCTTCATGGCATTTGAAAAGGTTGTTATTTCCCCAGGCACATGGCACAATTACCCGGTATATAGGGGAAACTCTGCCAAATTTCCTTGTGCAATGTCACACGTAGATCGGAAATCAATACAAAATTTTCTGTGTGTTATAAAGTTTTTTCTAAACGATGTTATATTTACTCTTACCCTAATCCCATGAATACGGTTTCGTAACTCGAAAGATGTCGCCATAAGCGGATCTATTTAATACAAGACGCAAGGTGAAACTGTTATGTGTTGATGGGTAGTAAAATTAAACGTCTGTAAAGTAACTAATTTCAACAAGACTTCTTGTGCAGAAAATAACGAGAAAAAATAAATTCCCTTGTTTGCTGCAAACAATATTTCCCTTTTTTTAGCTTCTACAACAATTCCTAGTTTTCTACATAATATTTGTAAGGAAATTAATTAAAATTAATGTGTTCGTCGTGGATGTAATCAACTGAAAACTACTGATTTCCACTGTGTTTGTACTCGTAATCGCTTGCATTCGGTAGGTTCTTGATGACACAAGCGACGGAAAGCTTTTCGAAATATTCATGTCTGCTACCTGGTGCCTGCAATTTGAAATACTAAAAGTGAAAACAAACCCTCTTCCATCGTCCATCAGTATTATCTTCACTCAAGACAATTTTTATTACATTTCACTGACAGACTTATATTAAATATGTAGCTCAACAGGAAATGATATAACTCTCGAAGGAATGCGTCTTCTACCATAAATAATTTATTTAATATAAATTTAACAGAAACTGAATTTGAATGTCGGTGCATTTATGTAAAGAAATTATCCATTTTCTTAAAAATGTATATATATTTACTTTTGGGTTTGTAAAATATCAGAGATTTCGGTGTAGAATAAGTACAAAAGAATTATCTTTGCGTGTCGTAAAATGTGTTGACCTAAAAATGTCCATATCTGATGGGCTGGCTCTGTCTTTGGATAGAATGGGAAATTGCTAGAAGCTAAGAGCACAGCTTCCACCCAAATGTCGTTGCTTATAATTTGTTTCTGGACAATGTAATCAAAAATTCACCCAATGAGACGTCAGTGCACGATTGCCACATATTTCAGAAAAGTTCCAATGTGATCTTTCTTTCATTCATGCACATAGATCCCCAGCTAACGTTCTCTTATAACTTTACACATTTTATTTAATCAAAGTGGAGGGAGAGATTACCTCTATTTTATTACGCTGTCAAATGACTTGTGTTCTGCGCAAGCTACGTTTGGTACACTTCATTAAACCATTACCGTCGGTCAGAATAATAACTTAAATCACACACTTTCTTTGGAGAGATAAGCGTGTCTTGTTTGAGACATGCGCCCATGACAAGATTTCCCTCTTTTAGCAATACATTTTCAAAAATACTTTTGTCCCACCAGAAATAGTTCTGGAGAGGTTCTGCTGGACGTAAAAGACACAAACCAAAATCGAATGAATTTCTGTTGGATTTCTAGCTATTGCACAAACATGTATGAAGACATCTGTCTTCAGGGATTTTAAAGATGCTTTCTCACTCCGTTAACATATGACAGGAAACAGCCATTTTAAAATAAACTTCCATCAAAAATGGGAACATGAGACGGTAGGTAGGCTTTAACGATTCGCGCGTTTTATTCAAGGCCCTGAGTAAGTAGTAAAAACCTCTGAAACGTCTGTCAGTTTCTACGACACTACACAGCGCAGCATTCGCAAGATCGCGGTCATTTTGCCCGGAAATTATTCACTTCCTACTGCTCTTCGAAAGTAACAAATTGCGATTATAGAGCCCTGAACAATCAAGGAAAGAAACAAACAAAGAAACAAACAAACCATTGACAATCCTTGGCATCGAAATATGTGATGCACTTGTTTAAACGTCCACCGATGGCAAAGATCGTGTCGTCGATCACTTCTGCTTTGAGATCATACGAATAGATGTTCATGTCAGGGATCTCCGTCCACGTGTCTTCTGCAGGATCATACTTTTCGGTACTGAGCTCGTGAGATGTCTCGTTGTATCCTCCTGCTCGCACACACACACATCCCGTAATATGTCACAGTATACAAAAATCTGCCTAAGGAAACTTATTCTATCCCCATTCAGCGTGTCCCTTTTTTATATTTATTACTCTGTCACCTGGACACGAAATATTTGGCCTTTATGGATGCACAAGATTCGTTACCTCATTCACAAAAGCCTGCAGTTGAACCCTTCCCACATTTTCTAGTTCCATAAAACATTTTAATAGTATCCTTCTTTTCACGCCTATGTATCACAAGTGGTATCTTATCTTCAACATTACCAGTTATAACTTTCTAGATGTTTGTATTTCTCGTAACTTCAATGCTTCACATTCCGACCGTCTTACCCAACGGACGTTACGATCTTAAAATTTGTAATTCCGTAAACGTAAAAAATGAATGAAATACAGCGAAGAAAATTCATTCCCTTTTGCAGTGTTAATATTAGTTCCAGGAAGGAAATTAAGGATGAAATGGCTAAAATATTATTTTCGTAATTTTAGCATCAGGAAATTGCGCCTGACTTCTGTTTCCTGCTTCATGAAACTGCGACCGAAAGTAACGTTCAACAACAGCACAAGGCGCACTGTTCAAAACTGCATTACACATAGAAGTGACGGAAAGCAAAGACTGCGAGGGGACTGCTTTAAACCACCGGCTTTTGGGGATACCAGCACGGCAAACTGAAACTTCCTTGCAACAAGAACAAAATATTTACCTTTGAAACTGGGACTGTGTGAAAAATGGGGCATACGTTACTTGAGAACTAACAAGAGATTATGCGTTGTTAATTAGTGTTCTTTGTTAAGAATGTAATCGAAACTACGAATCTGGGTTTAAAAATACTGACAAATTATCTCTGTAATGATAGGAGAAAATTGCTGTTCATAAAATCTCAGTCAAGCAAAGAAAACCAGGAAAACATTTTACAATAGCAAGTTCTTTCAGAAGGACTTAGAAGCATCACTCAGAATGTTCAGAGTTCTCACCTAGGGCGTACAGACAGCGGTGGAACGCGACGAAACCAAAAGTCTTACGTCCAGAACGCATTGGTGCAACGAACGTCCATCAGTTGGTGTCCGGGTCATAAACTTTCACCGAGTTTAGGTAATTACCACGACTGTATCCACCAGCGACGTATATTTTGTCTGTAAAAACAAATTAGCTAAATGATACGAACTGTACACATATTTGGTGCACAAACATGGGACAATCCGTACTTAAATTTGTAAATCTATTAATGTCCTCCTTCGTGTCACAGAAACTGCACAGACACTTCTGTCTCTGTTCATCTGTTTCTTTGTTTCGAATGGAGACAAACAAAGTGTTAAAGAAAATGAGTTTATCTTATGAAATTTAATATAAACACCATAAAGTACTTAAATTAATGCATAATGGAAATGATGGTAAGTTACATCTTCTGTAAAACGAATTTCATTAAATTTGGTGCCAGAGATGTACGGTACGAGCTGCCAAGCGGTGCTCTACATTTATAATACAATGTGCTATTTGCATGAGATTACTAATTGTCTCAAAAACATATTAATCTGTATTATATGAGAGACAATTTGATAGTTTGATGGTTGTCTGCATTCACTCCTAGTGTACACTACAAATTCAGAAGTCGATGCACAGGGACAGCTTACAAGAGCAGAAGAAACCGTCACGCACTCAGAACTTCAAGCCATTGCAGTCTGTGAAATAACGGAGTTCGTAGCACGGATAAAAGAACGAGATAATGAAAGAATACGGGCGAATGGAGTGAGGGAAACTAAGTTCAAGATCAAAGAGGAATTGATGAAGGCATAAAGCTCGTCTGAAACGTCGGCAGAAGTCAACCGACGGCCATCTTCGTACTCGCCGGCGTGACAACCTCAAATCCTGCGATTCCTTCAACCGTTCTTGCGTTGTTATTCACGGACAGACAGACGCCTCGCCATCTCCACTAATTCATACACTACTATTTCACAGCTTTTACGTACCATTCAGTACAGCCGCACGCGGTTCGAATCGCTTTTTGTTCATGGGAGCGATCCACGACCACTGATTTGCCTTGCAGTCGTATCTTTCAGCCGTGTTGTGAGTCTCATCTTCACCGCCTATGGCGTACACTGCACCTCGCAGAACTGCCACACTTAATAAGGATCTGAAACGATAAAAAGTACACGCTCTGCAATGCTCATTTATTGCTGATTCAGATGCATTTCCTCTCGCAGAACGCAATTGTTCGCTGGTTATTGTTAAATCATAATTCGAATAAATTAAAAAGCAAATCGTATTCTTAAAACCAAAATTGTCGCAAAAGTCCTCCTACTTATTCACACTTTGCACGATACTCCTGTATGTGAGTGGTACAATTTTACACCCCTGACCACGTTTAAATCTTGACTAACTATCAGTTTTTGAAGAAGGACTCTGTTCAAAGGAGTTCCTTAGTTACCAAGCTGCATCTTACCTGCATTCATGCATAGGCGCCGCCTCGCGGAGTGTCTTCGTAATAGCGTTGAAGCAGTGACATGTGTTCAAACCTGCAAGAGGGTCTCCACAACCACCGATGACGTAAATGTCGAAACCGACTACCGCCAACTCGGGGTATATTCGCTTACTGCCCAAGTCGAACTCCTCCACCTGCAGGAACGACAGGTTATGGCTTTATGTTTCTTTGTATCTTTGTAACTACTCGACACAGAAGATTCATTTTTATACGCCATTTAGTGTAGATTGTAATGCTGTGAATTTACATTGAAACGTATCATAGCAATACATTTCCGTAAGAGAATATTATGAATAAGGTAATTGTTTTAAACTGGAACTGTGAGATAACAATTTTGAAAGGACCAAAAATATATTTTAATAATTACTATGTTGGACAAATTTTGAAAATGTTACATCATAATATGCAAAGATATAAAATCATCAGAGAAAAATTGTTAAAAATTCTAGGTAAAATCATGAAAATTTTACATGCCTCGGTGGTCTAGATCTGGGATTTGTGCAGGCCTGCATGAAACTAATGCCGATACTCTGAATGGAGGGACTGAATTAAAATATTGGGTGGTTATACTTTTGTATAGTACCACTGTTACAGATTTTAAAGGTTTATGATGTTATTTGTAGGTAATCACAGCTGGGAAGCCTTTTCAACCAAACCAGCTCCCTCCTCAAATGATCACGACCCAGAAGTCTGTGCTTCAGGGACAAGCTGGTAAGTCGTTGCTTAGTATAGAAACGTTACGAAATTCTACAATTTGAGGTGAAGTCATGTGGACTTCTGGGTTGTGGTTGTAGGTGATTATAAAACTTTTAGGGAAATGTTGGTTCCCAATTATAAGACTCATATCATTACTTGGAAAACCAGAGACTGCTCTGGGTTTTTTTATCAGTTACTGGAGGACATTCCACCAGCTGTTTACAGATTACAACAAAGCCTGTGTTTTAGTTAGAAGTAAAACATTTTATAGCATTGTTTAATTCAGTGTAGAAATGAAGGTAATTACATTAATTAAAATGTGCTTGAATGAAACCTATATTAAAGTCCATGGATTTGTTTTATGCATTTGAAATTCAGAATGGTCTGTAATAGTAAAGTCTGAAGGAAAGAACCCGCTTGTCAGATGCAGGAATATATGAGAAGATAATATTAAAATAGATTGTATTAATAAGGACTGGTGGTGTTCTGTTGAGAACACAACAATGAACCTTTGGCATCTATAAATGGTGGGAAATTTTTTCACTAGGAGAATTTAGTATTAGATTCAGAAGAAAGAATGTGGTGCATAGAATTAATTAATTCTGTACAGCAAGGCATTACATATCCTTTTGTATATTACAGCTTCGTTCCCTGGGTATGCAACGATTCCAACTACGACAAATCAGACGCTGGTAATCAGCCAGTTGGGTGTAATAAGTAACCAGCCGAGCATCTTACCTGCCCACTCTGCCAGTACAGGTGCCAAACCTACTGACATGCAGAAGGTAGATATTACTGCATCATCTCATGTTTCTAACATTAACAATTACCCGGTGTCCTACGTGAGGGATTAAATGCAAGCGGTGCGAGTTGTGTGGGTGAAGCGGAAATATCAAACTGGCTGTTTGTGTGGCGCTGTCCTAGGTTCCAGCGAAGCGGTCAGGAGAGGGAAGCGGCCAAAGTCCGAGATCAAATATTTTGATATTTTCGCGTAGGTCGCTGCGCTGACCAGTAAGGCGCATGCGCAAGAAAGCTCTGCCTGTGCAGTAGACGGAAGGGGAATGCGCAGGAAGGCCGTGTGTTTCTCTCATCAAGGACACAACAAGCGATTCCCTTATGTCATATGACACCCCATGCTGCTTATGCAGCTCGCTCAGCTCGCTTGTTATCGCTTACCTAGGACATTGCCTTATTGTAAACGGTATTTAAGGCAAACTTTATATCCTTCGTCGATTCCTATTAGAACTTACAAGCTGATCAAGCTTATATAAACATTTACTTAGTAAAAATCAGCAATAAATAGGAAAAGTAGTTTATGTCGGAGGCGTCATTTAAGAAGCCGCGATAAGAGTGGAAATGCGTGGAACTCACCACAGTCCACCGGTCAGCTCGTGCGTCGTACGCTTCGATCACATCTGTATATATTCCGTTAAACTGCGGAAAGACAGACGGGCTGACACGTGACCAAGAGAAAGGCTCACATTTGTATTAATTGGTTATGAACACGAGTGAAAATGGAACTGGGAATGCGGGCTTCACTTCCCATAAACATCCACGATTTCAGGGGCATACTGACCTTCTCCTTGAAGAAATCTTCGTCAAGTAGTCCCAGTCTGACGCCAGTCAAAAGGCCCACGATGTGACATTTCCTGTTGTCCGGGTCGTGGTTGATCCACCGGAGAATGCACTCCCACACAACTCTCTCGTCCTCCACGACCAGTTCCTTGGACTCGATTATCGCTTGAAGCTCCTCTACAGGCAGTTCCAACAGTTCTTTGCTCTGCTGAGACACTTCCACGAAGTAGCCGAGAACGAACCAATGAGCGGGATTCTCAAGTTCGGTGTATAAGCGTAACCTGCGACAGCGAGGATAAGAGCCGACTCAGAATCGAGCTCCTTCGGACTCTGACATATTGAAACACTGCGGGAAGAACTTGAATCTCAACTCTTTGCACACCACAGTATTTCGTCACCAGTTTTTACCTTAGCCCTTTGGAGCCCGAATGGGCGAGACTGCGAGCAGACGCGTGGAGAGTCAACGACGAGAGATGCAAAATAGAAGGTTTTCGGCTCTGAAGTTTCCCAGGCAATGACCGCTCGTCCTCGTGATAAAGTAATAGGTTGAAACAACGGCATGGCGTACGCAAGTGAAGGAGACAGTGAAATCAGAAGTGTAGAATTTTGAATTCTGGCATTAACCTTGGCGAAACGACGTTGTGTTAACTGTGAGTTAATCCAGGAAAACTTCGTTTGACCGGACTATTTGGTGGGTGGGACCACGGGTCGAATTAGCAAGGGAAAGGGGAATGTGGTCATGGTTATGAAGAAATAAGTAGATTCCCAATACAGATTTTCCTCGTCGGCGAATGATGCGTTCATTTCACACGCACAAGCCGGCGGCAAAAATTACTCGTGGGCGCTGTTCGAGGGAGACTCTGTATTAAAATAGTGAATTTATCAAACATTCTGTCCATCGGGTGAAGTCGAGGTTCTGGTGTGATTCTGCTGACGTCAGTTGATTTCTTTGATATGTTGTCCTGAACAAGAAGGGGTAGTGGTTCATCTTATATGGGAACCAGCCCGATACTAACCAATTCTCTAAATGTCCAGAAGTGATAATAACAATTAGGAAAATATGGGTGTGAGTTCAGAGCAATGAACTGTACTGCGTGGACATCTCTTTAAGCACTCTCGCCTGTGGAAACCGATCTGGTTGAAACTCGGTTGCTTAATGCGGGAATCGGATAATCGAGTGTCGGTTTACAGAGGTTTTACTTTGTGCAGAAACATTTAAATTGCATAGACATTAATAACAACCTGCCCTCGCATTATAATTTGCCCAGTCTTTAGTTAGAGGTTTTAATCTCCGACCCTGCACTCGGTTACTCTCTTGAGTAATGGAGATTCACTCCAGCGACGAAGGCTGGCGTCGCAGCAAATGACAAATGAACATCAACTACCTTGCCAACTGCATGATTCCGATACAGTTGTCGGCGTCCATATTGACCTTGAGGAAGTCGCAGCAGAGTTTAGGAACGTTCTACATGCACAAGTAGTTAGCCGCCACGAGCAGCTGACGCGCGTTGTCGGAGCGGATGTCCACCTCGCAAAAATAAATATAATCCAGTATCCGAGTCATCACGTCCGAGCTAATTCCGTGGAGGAGAAAATCAGTCTCCTCACCGGTGTGCAGTTTTGTCGTGAGGTGTCCTGAAACGTCACGAAGCAGGCGTCGATTTGGAGAAACGGCGAGCAAAAAATTACAATTTATGCGGACTTTTTATGACTCACATAGCCAAGTAAAAGTATTCTTTTGTAAATGTGGTGGATGAATTTTTGTTATCAGATACATCAAAAATTGCAAGAAGTGTACTAATGGGACCAGATTAACTGCGAGAGGGCGAAGAGTGTGCGTAAGCTTAACAGAATGTAACTTACAACCCGGATAGCAATCAGCGAACATTTGTACTGTAGATTGTACTTCAAAAGATATCTGAGGTTGTAAAAACTACTACAGAAATTTTAAAGAAAACCAGCAAATTAACATAAAGATTTTAACTTACATCGCAGGCTGTACATTCTACTGATTGACCAGTTCGTAATATGAAATTATTTGCTCTGTCAAAATGTTTCCCGACAATTCTTCGCGGCCTAGAAAAGTTATCACCAGCCAGCAAATAATTTCCTATTACAGATAAAGGGCTTTGCAATGCAAAACAAACAGAAAGGTTTGATTGTCGGAAAACTGAAAGAGGGGCACAGCTTGTAACATGACGTGAGAAACGTCAGTTGGTAAAACGAATACAACGGTTCACGGTTATTTTTCATTTCTCATTTCAAAAAGGCACCGCATCTTTATTTAAAAGACATGCAAATTAACATATGCACAAAGTCTCGAAGTATTCTCTCCGACCAATGAAATATTTCTCGCGAGGTTCTTTGTTACAGTTTATTATATTTCAGACAGAGCAGCAGACAGCAACTTTGACATTGGTGTGACGCGGGATGCATTACCAACTTCCTACTTGACTTTGCCGATTGTCTCTGTGTATTAAAACCAAGACATCTTTAAATGGATTCTAATTCTCCCTCCAGATCGATTGACCGTCACTTTAGTACAACCGCACTTAAAAATTAATACACAAACCACGTATGTCTTCTAGGATTTTGAGTCGTGTTGTCTCGTTTAATTATCGGACGTTTCAGAGGTGCTTACTGCCTCCATCTTCAAGGAAAGAAGGCAGGAAGTACGTCTGATATGTCACTCAGTTTCTACGGCGCAACGTCCAAAAGACATCAGTCTTCTTCCTTACCGCCGTGAGATTTCATGACAAGAACAAATAACAAAAAACAAATAGTCATATAAAAACACATGTTTCTGCATCAAAGAGGATAAAACATTACACATACGAATTGACGTCTCTTGTGTCCTTATTTCACGTGTTATTCAACCACGTCAGTAAATGAACAAACCTGAAATATTCGCTGCGCATCGACAGAATCACTCTGTGGACTCGAAAGTAGCCACCGTCGTCCAACCTCAACACTTCGTCACACAAGAGGTTCCTCTCTCTTAGTTTATTCAGACACATCAATGCTTTAGTGCAAGTGCACCTGCCGCCATCTTTACTTTGGTTTGACTCCATCACCTGAAAAGACAGTCCATCGCTGTTACAGGTTTTCCTTCATACTGACGCGTGTGCACATAAACTGAGAGTGACTGAGAAGGAACACGGTATTGAGAAGAATATCTGGTCCTGAGAGAGAGTTACTGAAAATGGAATGGCGAAAACTGCATAATACGAAGCTTTATAAGTCTCTTCACTAATTATTGTTTTGTAGGCTGTCAGATCGAGGGCGATGAGATGGGCGGGGCATGTAGTACACTTGACAGAGACAAGGAGTGCAACTTCTTAATCGGAACACCTGAAACGAAGAGGCCACTTGAGAATCCTATGCGTTTGTGGGATAATATTAAAATGGATCTTAGAGGGTGGGGAATGAAGGTGTGGATTGACTTCATCTGCTTGAAGATGTGGTTTAAAGGCTGGGTCTTATGAACACGAACGTGAAACTTTATGTTTCTTAAAAGGCGACACATTTCATCACCTGGGCTACTGTTAGTTCTCAAGCATTGCTTCAGCTCCATGGAGTCAGTTTGTATCTTTGTTACAGAAATGCCTATTGATATTCGGTACAAAATGACATAGTTCTAAATGTGACTGATGTAAGTAACTAACTAACTAACTATCTAGACGGCTTACGGCACCCGAAGTTTCATCACCGAACTAACCAAAGACCACCGGAAACTGCCCTGGGGCAATAAATCAAGTTTTCTTCAACTCCTTTCTCCCATAGATCGCGCCTGAGATTATCCTCCCACCTACGCCGAGGTCTTCCCAGAGGTCTCCTTCCTTCAGGCCTCCCAATCAATAATTTGTAAACACCCCTCCCCTGCCCACCTCACCGTAACAACATCGGTGCTCGTCATGCACT